GAGGAGCCTGAGCAGAGTTTTCAAAAAGTTGAGAAAGTCAATGAGTAAGCCCTCAGGCACTAACTGATTTACTGTTTATTATTGCATAGCTCCAGAAGAGGTCATAACTGAAACTTTGTGAGACAGTTTTGCAAATATATTGCTCTAATGTTACAGCTTATTGGTCAAAGGCAATTGTGTTAACTGCTCTGCTCTGAGCTCTTGTGTCAAGTTCAAATCAATACCACTTAAACAGTTTGCAGCCTTATGGGATCCTAGTATCTCGATTACTTTAAGGTATTCCGTGTTTAAGTAGCTATTAGAAAGGTTTGTGATGGGAAACCAAATATTTGGATTCTTACTTGTTAAAAATGACAGAATTCAAGAATAGAAAGTAGTTACAAGTTAAACGGGGCAATGCTCAGCGTACACTGACAGCTTTATTCAAAACAAATCATGAAACATTTTCAACAAAGATATATTATTGCCAGCTTTGACAGCATAGTTGGTACTATTTTCAACTTGTGAGTTTGTCTGCAGAAGTGTGTACGTTATTCTGGCAAAAGTTGTCCTGGAGGCGCTGGTAGCTTAGTGTTTTGAGTTGGCATTTTATGAATTTGTCAGTTCAGTTCTGCTAAAATTGCACAAAGATATGGCTATACGACTAGAAAAAAAACGAGCGCTGAATTGCAGCGTGTGATCTGAGATTTCACTGGGATTGGAGCAAAATGGTTTTAAGGTCTTTTCCAGGCAGCAATGCCACCTGAGTGCTGAAAGGCTGCAGCTTTGTGTATAATTTAAATGAAATGCTGTGATAAATATATTTGGCTAAAAGCAATTAATTTTTAAATTTCACTTTTGTAATTGAAATGAAGTAAATGGATTAAAATGGATGGAAGGTCTGGCTACTCACCTAGAATTTAGTTGAAATTCATATTGTATTTTTGTGAGTCTTCGTGACTATTTTCCTGTAGCTACTATCTATATATCATGCATACTCACACACCTATACATAGTTTGGGGTTAATTTAGGATTCAAGTAAGGTACATCAATATGTGCGCTAGAGAAGCCTGTCCAAATGCTGATGACCTCCTCTACTTCCTGCCACAGCCACCCTTGTTGTCCTTTGTAGAAATGTCATGGCTCATGTCATATCATCAAGGTTCAATTACTGCACAGAAAAAAAGGTCACATCAGACCTGCAGTAAAGACCAAAACCAACACAGACTTGCATCACGCTGCACCTCATAAATTGCCTTTTTCATGTTGAAGTGCTCTTTAGGAATGATCCTGTCAAGAGATGCAAACACAACTGATAAAAGTGCAATAAACTGCAGAAAGAGCTTAGTTTCATATTCTTGTTTTTAAAAAAGAGGTCATGTGATAGTATGGGGGGGAAAAGGATCCGTGTGAGGAGATGAACTAAATTTACAGCATGTGTAGTCAAACGTGTCATGAGATTATTTGGGTGATAACATAAAGACTTTGCCTTTGAGCTAGTTCACAGCTGACATCTGTGGACTAGCTGATGATGACTACTGGCTGTGCACATAGCTCTTGGGGGATTAGTGTGACTTACTTTCATCCATATTGTACAGCTCTCATGCAGTTTTTTTTTTTAAACCAAAAGGATGGATTTCCAAGAGGCCCCGTCAGTGGCTCCTCAGCAGTCATGTTCAGTCACTGCAGTGCTGCTGATTCACATTTTGAAGGATATTAATAGGCAAGTAAATGATCCAAATGTCTCA